TGGGATTCTTGGTATATTAGTTTTTTCTGCGTATATAAGTTTTACGTTTAGTTCATAGATTTGAATCGAATTGGTATTGTTATTAGGTCATGCAATTAGGAAAATTACTTAGCTAGACTAATTAGACTTGAAATTCTGTTACCCTGTCCCTAGCGGACAGTCCGTTGTTTCTTGGCCCGGACCGCTCTGCACGCGGCGTTGTGGTGGCAATCCAGGTAGTCAGGTAGCCAGGTAGCTTATCGGTGTGACCTAACCTTAATCACTCACTGCACTTTGTGACTTAAACCGGGGGTCACCCGCACTTTTTAAACTTATTATATTTTGTTTTCTTGTTTATTTAATTTTTATTTTTTTGTTTTCCGTTTTATTGTTTTTGATTTACTTGCATCCGATAAATTGCCGGATTCTCAGATTCGTTATTAGGACTCGCGCTTGTATCGCTTACACTGCTTAGGAGCGCTTGCACTATAGAGCACATCCACTCGTCTCAATTTTACGCATACAAGTTTGTTATTAAAATGTTTTGTCTACATTTCCCAATAATTTTTAAAAAAGCTTCAGCGTGTTAAAAACTACAGTATTTACAACGCTTCGATACCCTTGAGGAGAGATCGCGACGTCGCGATGTTATAACATATTTGTCAGGAATCTAAATTCATGCATGGTTTCTAGGTAATCCTTTAAAGTATTTAAATCGTTTAAAAATCAAGGAAAAGTACATACTAAAGGTGCAAATATTAAATTTCTTTTATCTGACAATGGATTTTGGTTGTGTTCGAATTTTTATATAATTCATTTGTACAACTTGACACGCCTATTATACCTACCATGGTACCCTTTATAATATAACATGGTCACGTCATGCTACCAAAAGAATTTGTCGATTTTCAGTAATTTTTATGGATAAATTGATTGCAAATATTTTTTAAACGTGATAGTTGTTTTAAGTAAGTAATCTCTATAATAAAAGTAGTTTAACACTGATTTTTGCACACAATATTTTATTTAACTACCTACCTCAAAGAATTAAAAGCATCTGACAACTATCAAACAATGTTAACCTTAGTAAGGTTACCTTACTTTTTTTAAATTTTAATTTAAAGCTAACTTTAGCCTGTGTGCAAAATGCATTTTGTAATACAAAATGTGGTAAAAAAAGGATAGCATTTAACTCGTTTCTAAATTTTTCTAGAAACTTATTTTATTAAAGACTTGCTGGAAAGCTTCGCTTGTGCCTATTTAAACCTACGATACATAATATACTATACATACATACATAATATACTATATATATACATCCCGCTTACAATGCTGCATCATTTCAAAGTACCGTCATTATAGCGTCTACCAGAAATACTGCAGTATATCGTGATTTAACATTGCAAAAGTGTTAATTAGACAAAATAATGACCGAATTTAACGTTAAATGTTTATAAACCCCTTTTTAAACTAAAAATTCATGTTACTATCATTGCTGCTTCTTTTTATTTTGCCATCATTTCTGCGTCGATGTATATCGAATTTGTTAAACCATCATTGCTGCAACAGAAGTAAATATTTTTTTCTACTCCCCCGTCTTTTCTGCGTCACCCATGTTGCCAGATCTTGTCGACGCATCATTGATGGTCTTTCGTACTAGGATTTGAATATTAAATTTATTAAAATAAATATTTAAAATCATAAAACCCAATAATTTCGTTGTGCGTTGTGACTTGTTTTTAGCGCATATACTCGTATATCAACGCTCACAAATAAAAGGCAAAATATAAGTTCTTTAGAAATAAAATGATAAATTTGTTATGTATAATTTGTTGTCATTCAATAGTTTAAGGTACTCTGGATAAATTAAATTTTTTAGCTTTAAAGGATGTGCAGAAAAAAATCTAGCGTACGGGATTAATTTTTGATATGTTAAATTAACATAGAAAATGTATGCCACTGACATTTTTAATTTTTGATAGCATAATAACATAATAAAAATATAATAATTGTAGACAATAAGGTTCCTTATTGATATTTTTGTTATTAAATATTTTATTAGATTTAGCTAAGAAATTAATTAATATTTCCAAATAAGCCTTAGATATTCGCAGGACCGTTTCTAACGTTTTCTCCGTCGGGGTGGGTAATAAAATTTGCCGCTCTAATGTTGGTATAATATATTATATATATATAAATTGTTTATAATATAATATGTATTTATACATATTTATACGCCTCCTTAGATAAGGAGCACTTTTTTAATTATAATTTATTACAATTTATAAAATATTCACGGGCCATAGCATTTTTTTAAATTGTAATTAAAAAAGTGCTCCTAATCTAAGGGGGCGTTTTTACCAAAACCTTAAATAAAAAAGGGATTATTTTAAAGGATTTTTAAATCTTTATTTAACTATGTCTTAGAATAAGTCAAAACGGTTTAAACTTTCCAATTTTAGTTTTTTTATCAATATTAATCAATTTAGGAGTGACGAATATTTATAATTTAAATTTGTTTAAACTTTTTGCCTTTTCAAAATATAAAGAGCCAAATTGTATGTAAAAAACTAAGGATGGTGTCTTTTTAATATTTTGAAAACGTCACATTTTTGTCCTAGGACAGCCCTTTAATTTCCGTCCTGAAATGTAATCAGCTGTTTACTTTCGTCTTTGGATAATATCATTATTATTATTGTAGCTGTCATCACATATCGTCCCAATTATCGTATGGTAGTGTATCTTTAATTTAACAATTGTACAGAGCATTTTAAAGATAGAAAATTTTTAGCTAATTTAGAATATTTTTTGGAAAAAAATATCGAAAAATATGCTATATCTATATATTTTTTTACCTGCGTGCGGAAAGTTTCTACAAAAGTCAGTGTCAATTAATTTTTAAATAATGAACCACCGTGTAATCGTCATAGTAATGATAAATCCTAGTAGGATTATACTACCGCGGTATAGCGTGGAGAAAGAGTTCAATTTTCTCCACAGTTTAAGACTGAGCCACTTTCTTAATTGAAAAAGTATAGGAAATGTACAAATTCTTTAATATGATTAGAAAAATATATTTACAGAGCATGACTCAAAAAGTATGTGGAATCCAAAAATGGATAAAAGGGATATTTTTATTAAAAATAAGAAAGTTGGAACCATCCCAGAGAAAACCAAATATCTATAAGTAAAAATATTATTTAAAAAAAATTGTATTAGTTCATTAGTATATAGTAATTCCTTTTGACAAAAACAACAAATTATATCAACCTGTTACAAGAGCACACAGCCCACTTCTAAGTTTGACAGGTCAAACTCAAAAGACAGCTCACAGAATAACACAAAACCACGTTTTTTTGAGTAAGAAGTTATTGTTTTAATCATTTTACATTCTCATTAACAGTCATGATTTCAACCAAAATACCAATCACGTAATTTACCTACTACATTTACTTCACAATAATTTACTATGTTCTTTGATTTACTACATACTACATTTACTACATAGTCAATGTATAAAATGTAATAAACCCAATTTTTACGTCAGTTTCCCATCCCTGGGCTGGAGGCCTTACAAACGGGACAAATATTACTATTTTTACTCTTTTTTATTCTTAAAGTTATAGATATAATTATTAAAAGGAACTTGGCAATAATAATTTTATAAAACAAACTGGCTACCAAACACTTATACTAAAATTCACATAAACACATGCGACGCAGCATTGCTGCGTTCGTTTAACGATCTTCGTTATTTATGCGTCGAATAATATTAAGTACATTGTATCGACGTTGCTGCGTCGTACATTGTTGTCAGCTTCACTTGATGCAGGATTACCGTAAGTTTAAAAGAAATATTCACTTTTTCAATATACACCAAATTTAAAAGCGCACCCTTGCGGCAAACTGCCAAACTTCAATATACACGTATTTTACAAAAAACCATCAATGTTGCGTCAATATACGACGCAGCATTACACCTGACGCAGCATTGAATGCAAATTTCATAATGTATTGACGCAGCATTGTAGGCGGGATGTATATAAATATATATATATATATATATATATATATATATATATATATACGCGTAAAAGTACCAAGTGACACCAAAAACTACATTGACGTTCCCGCACCCAATATTTTTTGCGCTTAATGTGAATTAATGGCACCTTATATATTTTTTAAGTATATATGCGTTCTGACACTATACAGATATATAATACCTTTGTTTGAAAGTTAGTGTTTTATAAAAGTAAAACTAAAATATTGCTGGAAGTCCTTTGTCGAAATAATAAGTCAGATGTTTCGAATAAAATATTTATTGTCATCACATTTATTTTACTTTTGGTTTTAAATATTCTAAATTAAAAACTAACCTTGGAGAATACACAAACAGTCGTAACCATAATTTAAATAGAACTTTGCAATAAATTTCGTTTTAGCAAAAATTTACAAGAAACGATCCGTTCGCTTCCAAAAACTTTCTGCCTGTTTTTTGCTTCCCTTTACTCGATTCGTGTACCTGGACCATCGTTTTTTGAATCATCTGGACGCCAGGTTTTTGAGGCAAAGTTCGAAAAACCTGTAATTCCTTTACCTAAGTGTACCTTTTTACCACTTTTGCAAAACTTTTTGCCTTTAACACGATAATTTAGAAATTTCAAATTTATTCTAAAATAAATTTGTAAAATATATAAAACTACGTTACTTTCCTTGAAAATAAATTTGTAAACCGTGTCAGTAGGTAACAATTACAATATTTACATAAAGTTCGTTTTTGGGTGTACAAAAAACCATTTTTACACATTTCATGTGATTGCTGTTTTTTCACGAATATAAATTGTGACAATAATAATTTTGGCATACCGAGTTTTTTAAATTTAATTTACATTATTATACAGGGCCTGCATATTATAAATAAAATGGCGGAAGTAGTAGACGTGAATTTCCTAAGCTCGACCTTAAAAAGGTTAAATAAGGATGAATTAATTCTCATAATAATGGAGAAAAGTGCAGTTATGAGTAGTGTAGTGAATATGTCTGAAAACACTCTGATTAAACTAAAAACAACGCTAAAAAATCACTTTGAATCAAACGAGAAGTCTCAAGGTGACGTGCAACAAAATCAAGGAAGCGTAAACGAACATCTATTGTCGAGAATGGTAAAACAATTAGAAGATAGAGTAGAGGAACAATCTAAGATGATAAAACACCTAATTGGCAGTGAAAACTCCGAAATAACAAATATTCCTTTAAATAAAAACAATGAAAATAAAGAAAAAAGAGTAAGAATCAAAAGTAGTTCAAATGTACCACAAAACAATACTGAAACTAAAATGGACGAACCTGTCAAAATAAACATAAAAGAGAAAAATGTAAAGAAAACAAACATCGAAGGAAGCGCAATTGTAGATGAAAATGAATTTCAAGCTGCACCAAAAAAAGCATGGCTTTTTATTGGTAGAGCGCAACAAACCACTACAAAAGAAAAAGTAGAAAACTATTTGGCCAAAAAAAATCCAAATACGGTTTTCGAAGTTGAGGAAATAAAAAAACATGCTACGAATAATAGCAAAAATAAATCTTTTAAGGTAGGTCTAGATTTTGATTTACTGGATGAAGTTTTACAACCAGAATTTTGGCCAAAAAATCTCTTAGTAAGAAGATTCAAATTTTTTCGAACCAATACAAACTCCGAACTTTAAGAGAAATCCAAAACTGCTTAACATAAATATACAGTCAATATTTAATAAAATTGATCAATTGGCATTGATAACTGCTGAAGAAAATTTTGATATTATATGCATTACTGAACATTGGTTATCTAACAGTCAAACAAGCACATTTAAACTCGAAAATTATAATATTATTAGTAGCTTTAATAGAACAATTTACAAACATGGGGGGGGTACTTATAGCAGTAAAAAATAAATGGTTCGCTAAGGAATTACATTTCATTAAAGAGGCATCAATTGAAAAACACTTGGAAATAGCTGGAATCTACATACCCAATATGAATTTAATAACTTTAAGTGTATACAGATCACCGGTGGGTGATTTAAATATCTTTATGGAAGAACTGGATAAGTTGCTAAACACACTCTTAAATAAATATAGTGATAAACAAATTATATTAGCAGGTGACTTTAATGTTAACTTTTTAAACATTGATAGAGATTCAAATATGGTTTTAGAATTATTACGAAGCTTCGGCCTAATAAAATTGTTTAATGAACCTTCAAGATTAAGTAAAACAACAAAAACATGTATAGACAACATCTTTATTAATAAAAAAACGAAATAATTGCAAAAACAAAGGAACTCCATATTTCAGATCATTTAGGTCAGATCATATGCTTTCCAAATAATTGTAAACCTAAAACAGATATAAAAAAATTAAAAAGTAGAACTGTTAATGAACAAAATATATACCAAGTGAAAAATCATTTAAGGGAAATAGATTGGATAAACTTTCTTGACAATAAAACAGCTGATAATGGTTTTAAAGCCTTTCACTTACTGTTACTGCAATATTTGGATGAATTCATGCCAGTAAAAGAAAGAAATATTAAAATGAACCATAAAACTAAATGGAAAACAGAAAATATTATAAAAATGAAAAATGAACTCGATGCACTATATACCATAAAACAAGTTCAAAAGGATCAAGAATCAGAAAAAATGTATCACCATTATAAGGACCTATACAAAAAAGAAATACAAAATACAAGAAAACGTCAAACTGAAGATATAATAAATCATTCAAATAACAAACAAAAAACGATGTGGAGAATAATAAATAATGAAAAACCACAACCACAGAACTATAATACCAACCTGAAAGCTAATGAACTAAATTCTTTTTTTGTAGAAGTGGGAAAAAAAATTTTCGAAGAAATTCCAGACACAAAATATTCAGCTATTAGTTTTGCTAAAGCTACTCAGTTTGATACAAAAAAGTCATTTTTTATGTTTGATTGTACTATCCAAGAATTAGACAGATGCTTCGATCTTTTAAAGACAAAAAATACAAATGACATTTATTTTACAACCACAAAAATCTTAAAATCCATTAAAAATGAACTTTTAGAACCATTAAAAATAATAATAAATAAATGTTTTCAGGAAGGATATTTTCCGTCAGATTTAAAAAAAGCAAAAATTATACCAATTTATAAAGGAAAAGGAAATAGGAATGAATGTGGAAATTATCGCCCAATCTCTATTTTACCTTCACTATCAAAAATATTTGAACTCATACTTAAAAACAGAATCATAAAATTTTTAGAAAAAAGAAAACTACTTACAGATCACCAACATGGTTACCGAGCAGGAAGGAGCACTACGACAGCATTGCTTCAAGTAATTAACTTTATTACTGAGGCAATAGATAATGGTGAAAAGCTGAGCATGATGAATCTAGACCTAAGCAAAGCATTTGACTCAGTTCCACATAATATATTACTAGAAAAGCTATTTTATTATGGTTTTAGGGGACCAATATATAATTTACTAAAATCTTACCTAGATAAAAGGACGCAGTGTGTGTATTACAACGATTCTCAGTCGGGTGACTTAAAAATAGAGTATGGTGTACCTCAAGGCTCGATTCTAGGCCCAATACTCTTTATAATATATGTCAACGACCTCCAGGTTAGGAATAGCCTCTCTACATGTCTTTATTGCGATGATACCTCATTTTTAATAAATGGAAAAACTCTACAACAAGTCGATTTTAAGACAAAAGAAATATTTGAGAAAGCTGATTGCTGGTTTGCTACAAACAAACTTAAAATAAACAAAGATAAAACTGAAATACTCACATTTGGAAGACATGAATACCAAATAGTAAAGTTCCTTGGTATCTATATAGACAGCCGTCTAAACTGGTCTTGCCACGTAGAAAATATTTGCAGCAAAATTTCAAAAAGTATATACTGCCTCAGGAGGTTAAAAACCATTGCAACTCCCAACATTCTTAAAGCAGCCTATTTTGCAAACATTCACAGTTTACTTATGTATGGAATTATTATATGGGGAAGATCATCAAATACAAATAAAGTTTTTATTCTACAAAAAAGAGCAATAAGAATATTATTCAACTTGAGCCACGATGAAACATGTAGACCATGGTTTAAAAAAGAGAAAATACTTACATTTACTTCTGTCTATATTTTTGAAAGCCTTAAATATGTATATTCCAATTTAAACACATTTAACACAAACGGAAAAAGTCATAATTTTGCCACAAGAAACAGAGAAGAATTGCTAATCCCTTTGCATCTAAAGAAAACCACACAACAATTCGTGGACTACTGGGGGGTGAAATTTTATAATAAAATCCCTAAAAAGGTTAAAATACTATCAAGAGTTAATTTTGTTAGAACCATAAGACACATACTTACTACTGGTGCCTTTTACACTGTTGATGAGTTCCTGGAGTGTGATATCTCGACGCTATTATAAGAACAGTGCTTGTTGCGATTTTAAGCAAAACAGTAAACAAAGTGTTTTTTTATACTACCTTAAATATTTTAAATATAAATGTATTGTATTTGTTGTTTTTTAGATTGTATATACACTGTGTTTTTTTATACTACCTTAAATATTTTAAATGTGTTGTGTTTATTGTTTTTATATTTTATATACACTCTGTTGCCATTTTGTGATATTTTATTTTATTTTATTGTATTACTCTAAATTTTTTATTCACATGTAATTTGACTAGTCATGTAATTTTGATGACAATAAACTATTTCTATTTCTATTTCTATTTCTATTGAGACATGTGATCTTATTCAAGGGGTAAAGTAAATTTTTTTTAATAAAGTAGAAAAAAAACCAATATTGTGATTATAAATTAAAATAAATTTGGTATTGCAATAACAATTTTGTTTGCCCTTACTTTACTATTACTAATATGTCTTTATAAAATTATCAATTTTACCCATTTTTGGGTGCAACCGTTCTGGCAAACCAGCTATGAAATGACATAAAAATAAAATCATTTAATTAATTTCTAAAATTAATGTAAAGCAAATTAGACAGATTAGAAGAGAGAACAGTGGCGTAGCGACAGTACCGCGAACGCTAGCCACCGCGGGGGGCCCTAGCCTTGTGGGGGCCCGGCCTATACTTGCCCCAAAACATTATAAAACTTATTTCCATTGTATTATCTGCAAAACAAAAAACGTGACGGGACGCTTAAAAATTATGGCAACATTGTAAGATTGCGTAGATTGCTAGTTATCTTTGTATGTTATAAAAATATGTTATTATTTTTCTATTATTTTAGTAGTACGACAAAATTTAAATTATTTTCTCAAGATTCCAGATTTTGAAAATAGACTTAAAAAATGATACCAGTGTCTGGGCGTGTTTTCAGATCACGGCTTCAATAACAGCTAAATGTATAGTTTTTGAAAAATTTTAATCAATGAATAAATTTTAAAAAAAATCAAAAATTAAATTTTTTTTATTTAAAAATTTTTTTTAAGTATAATTTTTCTATTATTTAAAACATTCAATATTTGAAAAAATAATTTATAACAAAATAGAAAATTAAATATTATGTATATGTTAAAATAATAAGAATGGCTGTATAAACAATTTTAATGACGTGATTTCGTAAAACGGTAAGTCACGGACATGTTTTTTAACCTATATTTTAAAATCTATTAATTTTTTTCATGGGAGGTAAATCGTGTTGAACTGTATAAGAAACAGTGGAGAACCTTATTTAAAAAAAATATTCTTTCGCATTTTGTAAAAAAGTTGTTATTGTTATTTTTCGTTTACAAATATTTTTTTTAATAAATAATATTAATAAATAAAAATAATAATTTTTATTTTCAATATAAAAATAAAGATTTTAAAACATGTTGCCTTAACAACAAATGTAAAAAATACTTAGTTTCCTGGCAATAATGATAGGTTATTTCTAATGTTTTGATTGGTTAAAACATACATATGTATATATGTTCGTATGTATATGGATATCCATGACTGAAATTCAAATATTCTATTGGTTTTTAGAAAATGCTTAGTAATATTCACACAAATACAATAAGTATAGTCGTCTCTGCAAATGTTTTACATTGCTTCATTAATTTGTAAAGAATTCGCCGTGACGACTATACCTACTTTTTTTATTAGAATTGATGAAACGTGATAATTTAACGTTTAGTTTGTGTTAAGAACACTTTTCTTTAAGATTTACCAGTTAAAATTATGCAATAATATTGGTTGTTTAAAAAATCTAGGTTAGAATAATTTGTTTGTTATTAAAAACAGTGTGGTTTTGTATATACTTAAATAAAAAAATATCTGCCTGCTGTTATGTTAAGTATTGATTTTTATTTTTTTAAATATAAACAAGAAAATACTTACGAAAATCTTCTAATGCTTTTTTTACTAATTTTTGTGATATAGTCATAAAACGTGCAAAAGCATCCGTAGTTTCCGCAAATAATTGATGGTTTACCTAATTCATTTAAAAAAGTTTAATTACTTAGTACCTAATTACCATCAAAAACTTTGTATTTTTGATCAATTTTTATCTAATTTCACTACTTCACTAGCCGTAAATAATACTAAGACTAAGGAGCCAAATAGATACTACTTAATAGTAAATTAAATTAAATCTTAAATATCGGGAAACGTCTAGAATCTAGACTCAAAAAATACATGGTGCCGCAACGTCCTATTGTATATATTCTATAATGGTGCCGCTACGTTGTATATTTTACTCACGTAGTTAGCGCCCTCTGTAGATTATATGGTTCAACTAAAATTGTACTTTTCTAAATATATAGTCCAAGTGGCACCATCTGGAAATTTTGTAGGGATAATACTATGACACATTAGAGTTTATATATGAAATAAAACGTTCTGGCACCTTGAAATGGTGCCACAACGATTATATAGGTGCCACTTGGCCCATATATATCCGAATTTGGTGCCTCAACGCCTGTTTGTATATATATATATTAAATCAATATATATTATTAATTTATGATTAATTAATTATAATTAATTCCTTAAAATCGTTTCTAATTATTTACGAACGTGCTTTTAATAATTATAAATCTAATTCAAGAGTAAACCTCTAGGTGCACCCCTTTGAGGCCTTGGATCGTTTTGTTTGTTTAGTTTATTAAATGATAATTAAAATTTACTTAAACTTTGTTTAAAATTTATTAAAAAAAACTGATGATGGCAAAACTGAGAGTAAGTGTTAATATACCTTTCTATTAATTTAGACCTGTGCATTTTCTCCATCATTTTTAGTTAACCAAACACCACAACTAATGGTGTTTGGTTAACTAAGAATGACGGAGAAAATGCACAGGTCTAAATTAATGGAAAGGTATATTAACACCCTAAATATTACGTACCTAAAAACTATTTTTTTTTAAATTTTACTGTGTTTGGGATTTCAAAAAAACGCATTAGTGTTTTATTACAGCGACGTAAAAGACGAAATATCGACCAAATTTAACATCCTTAAGGATTTTCGAGGAGTTCAAGATTTCAGAAAGCGACCATCTCCATTGACACGTTTGTTCCTGGAAAATTATTTGAAACATCAATTAATGTTTTTCAGTTAAAAAAACACTTGAATCAGAGATTCGTTTTCTATAATAAAAAGTTAACTTTTGCATCTAAAGGGTAGAGTATAAGGCAATTTGCGGGCCTCGAAAAAAAGTCAAGCGACATTAATTATATTTAATAGAAAAAAAATCTTTAAAAGTAAATGTCCTTACACCACGCCTTCTGCAACGAAGGGTTTTTGCATTTTACTTAGTTTTAATCTGCACGCAGATAACATTACTTTTACTTTAAATGGCAGTACCTAATCATTAAAATAAATGAAGTTAAATTTTTAAAACTAATTTTTTATTTAAATTAACTCGTACTTAAAAACAATCATTGATACGCCATTTAAGATTAGTTTAATTTTCTAAATAACATTAAAGTAGTCCTTTAATATTACTGATAATAACAACAAAACAACATTAAAGATATAAAATTAAAGTTACAATTAAAAAATATCCAATCTGCGATTATAAATATACTTTTTCTTTTTTGTACTCGTATTTTATTATAATTTATTTCCTACCTCTCATATAAATATAGGCTGTTCCTCTCATGTTCCTTCTCGTCAAAACAATTAAATTAAAAATGTTTCCAACAATTCCCAGCATGCAAATGGAGGGCAGCGCCATTCCGTACGAGTACCTTCGAAGCACTTCGATTCGGGGATCCTCAGAAATGGGGATCGTGTCTGAAAACGTCCCTGGCAAATTGGAACTGTTGTTCCAGATACAGGGTGTACAGTCGATTGAGGTGCCATTCACGCAAAGGGCCGACTCATTTGGAGACTCGCTCGAAAACAGGGACATGGCGTCCATCGGGGTTTGCCCTTAAGAAATTTTCAACGATGATAACATTTTTGGTTTCCTGAAAAAAAAAGGCAATTACATTTCAAAACTCAAAATTCGAAAGTAAAAATCATTGATTTCGCAATTATCCCGAGTCAAAATTTAAATCGTAATTTAAACCTACTTTGACCTACCAAAACTGATTTAAAACCTGTTCAGTCTGTTTACTCCAATTTAGCACTAGAACAACCGAATTAATCTTCATTTGAACCGATTTAAACCTCTAATAAAATTTTTGGTTTAAATTTAAACGTAATTAGAACAGAAAAATCGGGAAAATGGACTTATGTGCCATGTTTTAGGTCATAAGTTGGTTATCTTTAGTCGAATATAAAACCGTTTAAGACGGAAATTGTCAGACTTACGGTTTAAATTACGATCTTAATTTTGACTCGGGATGTTTCGTAAAAGTCATTCGCGTGAGTCTGTCATTGCCCGAGTCAAAATTTAAATCGTAATTTAAACCTACTTTGACCTACAAAAACTGATTTAAAACCTGTTCAGTCTATTTACTCCAATTTAGCACTAGAACAACCGAATTAATCTTCATTTGAACCGATTTAAACCGATTTTAACCTCTAATAAAATTTTTGGTTTAAATTTAAACGTAATTAGAACCGAAAAATCGGGAAAATGGACTTATCTGCCATGTTTTAGGTCATAAGTTGGTTATCTTTAGGCGAATATAAAATCGTTTAAGACGGAAATTGTCAGACTTAAGGTTTAAATTACGATCTTAATTTTGACTCGGGTGTGATAAGAGGGGCAAAAGTTAACATATAAATAAAACAATTCCAGGGGGTTTTGTTTGGGCACATCTTTTGGGATGGGCACAGGGAATTTTTAAAGTTTGAGGATTTTATTAAAAGTTTATAAGTTATACGCGTAAGGGTTTTTGTAAGGGCAGGCAAAGAATTTTGTGAAAAGGGGGCAAAAGTTAACATATATATACAGTATGTCTCAGTATCTTGGAATCATATGGAAAACTTTTTTATTATTAATTTTAGGAAAAAAGTTATTCCTCATAAAAAGTTCTGCATGGTGTAAAACTTAAAATGCAACCCACAAATATTAATTTTTTTTAGTCGTATACGAGGTATGTCAAAAAATATGAATTTGGCGCAAGAGTAAAGTACCTTTATATTTGACGATATCAAAAATTGTTATAAAGAAAAGTTAATCAGAACTAAAAACTACGTTTAAATATGCAATTTCATACATTTACATTAAAAAATTAGGTTTTGTTAATTTTTACTAATCTTTCTATTTTAAATGAACATTTATCTGTTATGATTAGAAAAAACATGAAAACCTTAAGTTAAGTCAGGGGATCTAGCAGGCCAAACAGTTTTAGAATTTTTAATGTAAATGGATGTAATTGCATATTTAAACGTACTTTTAAGTTCTGATTAACTTTTCTTTATAACAATTTTCGATATTGTCAAATATAAAGGTACTTTACTCTTGAGCCAAATTCATATTTTTTGACATACCCCGTATACGACTAAAAAAAAATAATATTTGTGGGTTGCATTTTAAGTTTTACACCAAGCAGAACTTTTTATGAAGAATAACTTTTTTTCCTAAAATTAATAATAAAAATGTTTTCCATATGATTCCAAGATACTGAGACATACTGTATATAAAACAATTCCAGGGGGTTTTGCTTAGGCACAAATTAAACTTTGCTATTAATTTCTGTACATAATCAGTTTCAACGAAAAATTATATTATTTTTAATAAACAATTTTTTTTCTCTGCTACAATACATACTCCTAAAATAATTTATTTTACACACTATATAAGATGAGATAACACATAACAAAACAAAACATAACACATGTTACACAAGATACAATTAAAACCCAATGAATACCCTTAAAAAGTAAAAAAAATTAAATTAGACCTAATAATATTTTTTTACTAAGACTAAACATGCAAGTAAACATAATAACACGAATGTGTCAATATAACTGATGTGTGTACAAAATAAAATAGAGTTAAAATATAAGCAAAAGTATAACCAAATCGAATAAAATAATTAATAAATGTTGGTAAAATATAATAAAAATAAAAGTATTAGTTACATATAAAAATAAGTGTAGGTACATATACTATAAAAAGTTTTACAAAATTTAATTTTGAAAATTAACACTTAGAGGCCTATTCCCTTTCGATAAACATGCATGTTCATGAACTACATACATGTATGTTTCGTAACGCACCTTAAATTAAATTAAATTTTATTGAAATTTTTACATGTCGCTATGTCGCTCTATACCAGGGGCGTGCTGGGCCGCCGGGACACCGGGCGAATGCCCGGTGGCCTGCTCTTCCATGGTGGTCTGCTGGACTAGTTAAAAGATTTTTATACCAAACAAAAAGTTATATCACTAAACATTAAATATAAATTTAAAAAAAAGGAAGTTTTAATTGACTCCCGTAAAAAAATCTAAAACACGTATTTTTTATGCTAACCCTTAACCAAGAAGTCGCAGGTGAAAACCCTAGAGCGTGGGGATATTTTGGATGCTTTTGTAATTATTTTTGCGTTTCTTTGGAAATCCAAACTGATCCGGGGCCACTTCGATAAAATGCAATTTTAGTTAATTTATAAAAGGGGGGATCAGCTCGGATTTATAGAGGAACAGAAAAAAAGACCCCTCTCGCAGTTTTTGTCTTGATTTATTTGTGATAATACTTTCCTTTAATATCAGTGTGAAGTGACGTAAATTTGGAAGATTGTATGCTGATTGCTGTGGAGAGAAAGGTGCAAAATGGTTTAGATTGTGACTTAATAATTGAGCTAGCTGAAAACAGTTCTTTTTTGCGAAGAGGGACGTTTTATCAGTCAAGGTATTTAATTGTGATGTATTTTTACCATTTATATGAAATCGGCTTGGGCCTGGACTGCACTACCATCTAGTTTTAGATAATACTAGTATTTGTCGTAGAAAAAGTATAGTATGCAACTTCATTTCCAAAAATTTTTCTTTATACTAATATTAATATTTTGGATTTTTTAGGACTTGGGCCTTTCTTTGTAAAAATACAATCAAGTTTGTAAATTTACTGATATTTTCTTGTTAATATATTTTATGGTTTTTAGCATTGAATAAGATTTAGTATTACATAAAGTGGATGGCTTATAAACAGAAGCTAATTTATAACAATAGGCCAAAACTATAGATTTGGCCTATACCATTTCTTCAAAATTTTCTACATTTTTCTTCATACACCAACCATACATATGTTTATTATTTCCATTTAAAAAAATTCACGCCGCGTGCTTAAAACGCCCTCTTTTTGTAACTTGTTGAATTAATCGTTAAATTCAAAGAACGAGTTGAATTTGTTTGAATGAAAATTATCAGGTTTATTTTTAAGCACAACCGGTATTTAGGGAGAATATTTCTCAAATAAAAATATGTAAATTTATTGAAATAAAATTAACAAAAATATAACTATGCATATTGCAATAATAAAAACTATTTTTACTTTTCACCGTGCAGCTTTTGCTGCAAATACCACGTTGCTGACAACTGTTTGTTTGTACTGTAAACCAAAAACGTTTTAACACAAAACTCGTTAAAATTAATGGTTTTGATAATATTAAAAAAAAACACGGTGAAAAATCAAAATAGTTATTGTTACAGTGCAAATAATTTGCACTGTAACTTTTAAATGTTCACTTATTAATTAAGTACCTGTTAAATTGTTACAACTATAGTTGTATACATATATGTATGATTGTTGTATACATATATGTATGATTGAAATATTCGATGGTGCTTAAAAATTACCGATAACTTTAATAAAAACTCAGTTGTTTATAATTCCACGAGTTCAAATAACGACTGGAGTTTGAACAACAAGCTTGAATGAAAATAATTTGGTTCATTTTTAAGCACAAGCGGTATTTGGGGAGAATATTTCTCAAGTGAAAATACTAAAACAAAATATATCTTACTAACTATATTGCAATACTAATAAATATTTTTCTCGATTTTTATGTAAGAATGTCATATTCTCGCACGCAAAATCGTTGAAGAATGAAGCTCATTCTTAAACGATTTTTGGTAACATTTAGTTTTTAAGTATTGGTACCCCCAAAATGTCAAACTGTTTAATAACCTTAAATTTATAATAGCTTTGTTTGTTATCCTGCACTAGTGCAACCTGAACTACACTTTTATTGAAAATGAAGCCTTTATTATTGTTTTGTTATATTAAGTTTGCTCCAACAATGCATTTTAATGCAAAATTTTAAGTTTAATGTGAAAAAGTGCAGTTCAGGTTGTGCGGGATAACAAATATTGACAAATAAATGAGCCAAACAGGTCAATCAAACTATATTTTATTGGAAATATTATATACCTACAGTACACAAAACACAAAACTACTATAAATTAATCACTAGCACAATTGTTATAAACTTTTATTGTAATGTTCGGTGTTGGTTGTAAAACCTCCTGTGACATTTTTCACTGCTAAAAGTAAACACAATTGTTCAAAAATATCAGAAAACATTAAAAAATAATACAATACTTACACAAAACCTTATTATCCAGTTGACAAATACAGACAGATTATTAATAAATAGTAAATAAAAATAAATCTACCTGTCCATGCAACTGTCATTTTGTGTTGCCAACTGACATTTTGCGAGAAAAATCCCCCAACTAACAACGACCATAAAACAATTAAAAAAACCTAAATAAAAGTTAAAATCGAGAAAATAGTATAAATCACACGTTGCAGAAGGCTATTCTCGCACTCATTCGTTCGGCCACTCGCTCCTTCGTCGCTCGAGGCCAAATTTCGAATTCGTGCGAGAATATGTGGCCTTCTGCAACTTGTACTTTAATATACTATTACTTTTCAATGAGTTTCTTCTTTTTGAGTATTACCAAAAACGATTCATTTTAACTAGTTTTGTACAAAAACGTAGAAAAAAACTGGTTATGATGTTTTTAATTTACAATA